ACTCAAAGAATTCAAAAATACTTTAAAACATAAACTAAACAGATTCTAAGCATTAAAGAACAAGAAAGTAAAGGGGGGTTTAGGACTTGACAAAAATTGAAATAACGAAACAAGTTAATAAACTAGACAGAATGTAAATATGAATATGATGAAAGTATGGATGAATGGATGCTAGCCAAGGGGTTCATCTCCACACATGTTACACTTGCATAATAAAATGATTTCCAATTGCATTTCAATAAATCATTAATTCTCAACACTCCAAGTTAATTAGATCCGCTTAAATTAACCTTCAAATCTTCCTAACGTTATTGAATTGGATGATTGCATACGACAACCCAAAACATTCCCCACAAGTCCCCTACATGATTGCATAATAGAGATACAAGCAAGAATCATTACGCTCTATGAAGATTATAAGTTTTGACGAGACATTCGTTACTATGGAATACGCATGAAACTTATGCCAAGAATTCGTTTAACGCGAATGTTTATAAGCAACCTCCACTACTTGTGAATATAAGTTCATAACGATTAGGTGAAATTCACTTATATTCTAGCGTCAAATTCATGCATGAAAATTAAGTGTGCACTCTCAATAAACATACATAAATAGGTTATCAATAAAACAGTTAAACAAATTGAATTCACAACTTATGAAACGTAATTAGAAGTAATCAAATCAAAATGCAAGCATAAACATATATTTCGAATCACCCCCTAGCTAAAGGGGGTTTAGTTCCTCATACAAAACAAAGAGAATTGAAATTAAACATTGAAATCAAAGAAACGCCTAAACATTCCAACAACTCAAACTTGAATTGTATGAACGTTTAGGCTCTCTTCTCTTCCTCTTTATTGTAGCATAAGGTCTAGGGATAATTGGTTTGGGGTATGGAAGTGTGGAATGGAAGAGGAGTGGTGGAGAAGTGGAAGGGGAATGGAAAAATGGTGTTTGGATTATAAGGGGAGAGATGGGAAGCTCACGGCTAGGGAAGGTTAAATGTGTTTGTAATGTGTTGTGTATGAAATGAGATGTTCATGAATGAATGAATGCAAGGGTATTTATAGGAGTAGTGGAGGGAACATATGGCTATGTCATTTGTAGGTGAAGTAGGTGGATGTTGTAGGTGAAGTAGGTGGATGTTGTAGGTGAAGTGGATGTTGTAGGTGAAGTAGGTGGATGTTGTAGGTGAAGTGGGTGGATGTTGTAGGTGAAGTAGGTGGATGTTGTAGGTGAAGTAGGTGGATGTTGTAGGTGAAGTGGATGTTGTAGGTGAAGTGGGTGGATGTTGTAGGTGAAGTGGGTGGATGTTGTAGGTGAAGTGATAAGTGATAAGTGATATGATATGTGGTTATGATATGATAAGTGGTTAAGTGGTGATGATAAGTGATAAGTGATTAAGTGATATGATATGTGGTGATGATAAGTGATAAGTGCATGTGGGTTAACTAATGAAGGAAATGCATGTGCAATGACAATGTGTTAGAATGGATGTGTGTTATGCATGGCATGATTGGGATTAGGAAAGGTTTAAATGTCCTAAAACTAAAGAGAACAAGGTTCCAACACTTTGGCTCCAATTAGGTCTTCAATTTCGTCCAACACTTTGGCTTCAAGCATAAGCTATCCGTCCTTCGCCCAAAAGTGCTCCAAAAGTCTCCAAAATGCATCTTTTTGCTCCTTTAGCCCTTTGGACCTACAAACACACGAAAATAGCTTAAAGTACTAAAATAACTAAAGAAACATAACGTAAATGTACAAGAACAAGCCATTTAAGTCGCATAAATATGCTCCTATCAGACCCTACCATCGATCTTTGATCGACGGTTGATTTTTGGTCAATAGGTCTTAAATTATTCTAGAACGTCCTTGGAGATGTGTTTTATGTAAGTTATGTGTTCTGTCAATAAGAATTCTGAGACGTGATTTGATAATTGTTCTAAGCGCCGATCGTTTGAGACACCTCGATATTAGTGCTAGGGAGTTGTAGCGCGGACTCCAGGTGAGTGGATCTTTTCCTTTTTATAGTGTGTGTGTGTAACTTAATATTTTCCACAAGTTCTTTTGAATTGATTTATGCGTATCATACCATGATTAAATAATGTTATAAGAAATGTTGCACTTTGGTGAGATGCTAAAATAATCCTATGGAATGCGCAGGTAAGTTCAGGTAAGTTTATTATGCTGATTTCAATCATTGAATCATTATGGCATGCATATATTCATGTAGTGCTCATCATTGCTGCACCCTGGTGTTAGTAAAAGCGACTCCGACTTGTAGGTGACCCGCACATAGCGCTAGCCTTCATTTGATCGTAGCATTAGAGCATATATTATTACACCTAACCTATCGTACAGGTCACATTAGGTGACTTCGACTCGTCTGCTAGCATAGATTAATGAGCCATAGGTGCAGTCGTACATGTCACATTCGGTGACTTCGACTTGCATGCGAGTATATATTGTTGAGCTTATAATTATATTCATATTGTCGTTGAGATATTCTGATGTGGCATACTTTTGGTTTTACTATCAGCATGCATTTGACTTCATACTTATACGTAGTATGATTTTCTGAAAATTGTACATGTTTTACGACGAGGGGTTATAACGTTTTTAAAGGTTTTCACTAAAACTTTATTTTCAGGCCCCACTCATCCTTGTTTTTCGCCCCTCCAAGTTCTAGTAGCAGAGTTTTCGTATTGACGAGGATTATTGGCAAATCTTGGTTTAGATGATTACCATCGATGGTATAATTCTCACCCTATTTTACTGTACTGCATTTATACTCTGTCATCACGTGTGAATTGGGTTCATTCCCGCTCATAGTGCACTCTTGTATTTAGGCACTTCTAGGTTTAAATTTATTCACATTTTCCACATCACTACACTTTATGCTTCGTCACCTTCCAGGTGTCGGCCAACACAGTTCGATTCAAAGTCCTAGTTAACATTCCGGGTTGGGGTGTGTCATTTTGTCCTGTTACTTGATCTTTGAATGTTTATTTTTTTACGATTTTTGGCGTTTGCGATCCCGAATTATATACAAACATGTTTGACGGTTGGATCGTTTAAACTAGTTTTGTAGAATGTGTATCTCATCAAGTTCAATGGTATATATAAGTAGCTTTAAATTTATTTATTTTGTATGTATAACAATTAAGAAATTGAATGGTATGTATATTTATTAAGTAGCTCTAAATTTATTATTATAGTTCGGAACGGATTTTTGTTAGAAAAATATATTATTGTGGGTCTTATGTAAAAAAAATTGAATTTGAAGGGAGTAAAATCACATTTTCAGTAAATTTTATAATATATTTTTTTAAAAATATAACTTGCGCAACGCCACGATGGGGTTGTTGCGCAAAATAGCTTTGTGCGACGTAGGTGCACCTTTATCGCGCTTACATCGCGCAAAGTCAACAACTTTGTGGCATAACATAAGATTTTATGGTATTCACTTGTGTAAATATTTTAAATTGATGATCGAATTTGTTCATTATATTCATATAGGATCAAGGAGTGTAGCTGTAAAAAATCATCAAAATCAGAATTAAAATAACCGTTAAATTGTGAATTTTCTTTTATAACCATCAAAAAGTTTTGTCCCGTTACTTGATCTTTGAATTTTTTTTTTTTTTTGCGATTTTTGGCGTATGCGATCTCGAAGCATATATAAATAAGTTTGAAGGTTGAATCGTTGAAATTAGTTTCGTAAGATGCATATCCCATCAAAACGATAGATTCACCAACACTTATAGTTTATTTATACTTTCATTAAGTATAACATAAGATTTTCTGGTATTCATTCATTGTATTCATATAGGGTTAAGGAGTGTAGCTGTCAAAAATCATCAAAATTGAAGTTAAAATAACCATTAAATCATGGTTTTTCGTTTGTAACCGTCGAAAAGTTTTGTCCCGTTTCTTTATATCTGAATGTTTGTTTTTTGCGATTTTTGGCATATGCGATCTCGAAGCATATACAAACAAGTTTGACGGTTGGATCATTGAAATTAGTTTCGTAGGATGCATATCCCATCAAAACAATAGATTCACTAACACTTGAGAGTTTATTTATACTTTCATTAAGTACAACATAAGATTTTGTGGTATCCACTAGTGTAAATATTTTAAATTGAAGATCGAATTCATTCATTGTATTCATATAGGGTCAAGGGGTGTAGCTGTAAAAAATCATAAAATCATAGTTAAAATAATTGTTAAATTGTGATTTTTCGTTTATAATCATCGAAAAGTTTTGTTCCTTTACTTGATCTCTGAATGTTTGTTTTTTTGCGATTTTTGGCGTATGCGATCTTGAAGCATATATGAACAAGTTTGATAGTTGGATCGTTGAAATTAGTTTCGTAGGATGCGTATCCCATCAAAACGAGAGATTCACTGACACTTAGAGTTTATTTATACTTTCATTAAATATAACATAAGATTTTGTGGTATCCACTAGTGTAAATATTTTAAATTAAAGATCGAATTCATTCATTGTATTCATATAGGATCAAGGAGTGTAGCTATAAAAAATAATCAAAATCGGAGTTAAAATAACCGTTAAATTGTGATTTTTCATTTATAACCGTAGAAAAGTTTTGTCCTGTTACTTGATATCTGAATGTTTGTTTTTTACGATTTTTTGCGTATGCAATCTTGAAGCATATACAAACAAGTTTGACGGTTGGATCGTTGAAATTAGTTTCGTACAATTCGTATCCCATCAAGTTCAATGGTGTGTGTATATATTTATTTATTTATTAAGTAGATTTAAATTTATTTATTTTGTACGTATAGCACTTAAGAAATTGAATGGCATGTATATTTATTAAGTAGCTTTAAATTTATTATTGTAGTTTGGGTCGGGGTTTTGTTAGAAAAATATATTATTGTGGGTTTTATGTTACAAAAAATTGAGTTTGAAGGGAGTAAAGTCAATTTTTAATAAATTTTATAATAATTTTTATTTAAAAAAAAAAAACCTTGGAAGAACGTACCTCAGAGGTACAAGCTCATTGGGACTACTTTGCTTGCCTTTGTCATCTGCAACATGGATAAGGTAGTTATGTGGCTCTGCTGGCTTTGCTTTTATTTCTCGCTTAGGCATTCATTGAACAAGTTATGGGCTTGAAATTTTCAGCTTAAACTTTGATGCATTTGTTGTAGGAGGAAGAGGGATAGAGAAATGTAAGAGAGCATAGGGGTTTTTAAAACTTGAAAAGACTTCTAATTTCTGATTTCTTTTTTCCCACACAAAACTCATTACACTGCATGGCTTTTATAGCCACTACAATACATCATCATTTATTTAGGTAATTATAAGGTTCTTGAACATTGAAACATCTAGAGAAATCATGATTAACTCCAGAAATTCCAAACATCACAACTCTAGAACTTCTATCCTTTCTTATCCCTGATTTATGACTCTTCCTTGTAACTAAAATTTGGGTTAGCCTTCCAACATTGCCTCCCTTAAACCAAATTTTCTTTTGATTCCTAGTCTTGCAACATCTCGCTTGAACACTTGTCCACCAAGCAGTTTTGTGAACAAGTCTGCCATCTGTTCATCTGTTTTGCAATACTTTAGATGTATAATTCCCTCACTAACAAGCTCCCTTAGGAAATGAATGCGGATGCGGATGTGCTTTGTTCTTCCATGTAGAACAGGATCTTTTGAGACTGAAATTGTTGAGCTATTGTCACAGAACAAAGTGGTTGGACCCTTTTGTTTATGCATCAGACTCTCCAAAATGCCAAGTAGCCAAACTATATGACATCCTGCAAAAGAGGCAGCTATGTACTCCGCTTCCGTTGTAGAGAAGGCAACTATCGATTGCTTCCTCGAACTCCATGAAATCACGCCACTTCCCAGACTAAAGACATAACCTGAAGTGCTTTTGCAATCATCAATACTTCCAACTAAATCACTGTCAGTATAGCCAATAAATTTCACTGGAACATTTGCTTCATAAAAAATGCCATAATCAAAGGTTCCTTTGATGTATCGCAAAATTCTTTTTGTAGCTTCCCAATGATTTGAATGTGGCTTTTCCATAAACTTGCTCACCAGACTTACTGCATACATGATGTCTGGTCTTGTGGCCGTTAAGTACATCAAATTACCCACCAAACTGTGAAACTTGGTGGAATCAATAGGTCTCCCTTCACCATCTTTGCTTAGCTTTAGGCCTGTAATGCATGGTGTCACTACTGGGTTTGCATTCTCCATCCCAAATTTCTTCAAAACTTTTTTTGCATAACTCTCTTGAGAAATGAAAATGCCTTTCTTAGATTGAGAAACTTCAATACCAAGAAAGTGATGTAGCTTGCCCAAATCTGTCATCTCAAATTCTTCCATCATAGAGAGCTTAAAACTATTCAATAACTCCAAATCATTTCCGGTAAAGATAAGATCATCCACATAAAGACTTACAACCATGAAACTTCCTTGTGAGGTGCTTTTGACATAAAGGGTATGTTCATACGGACACTTCTGAAAACCATGCTTCTCGAAGTATGAATTAATATGGCTGTACCATGCACATGGTGATTGCTTGAGCCCATATAACGCCTTTTTAAGCTTGTAAACTTTATTTTCCTCTCTTTTCTTCACATATCTAGGTAGCTGCTCCAAATAAACTTCTTCTTGAAGGATACCATTCAAGAACGCAGACTTTACATCCATTTGAAAAATTTCCCAATTGTTTTGTGCCGCAAGTGAGATGATCAATCGAATAATATCAAGTATGGAAACAGGAGCAAAAATTTCAGTATAATCTTCACCTTCTTTTTGCTTATAACCCTTTGCAACGAGTCTCGCCTTGTACTTGTTAATGGACCCATCTGCATTTTTCTTTGTCTTATATACCCATTTAACACCAATAAGATTCTTGTGTGTTGGCAGATTTGTGAGCTCCCAAGTCCCATTCTTCTCAATAGCCTTTATTTCTTCATCCATGGCTTGCTTCCATTTTTCTTCCTCACATGCTTCATTAAATGAAATTGGATCATCTCCAGCAAAGAAGGCAAAGAATATAGTATTATCCTCCAAATCTACTTGCTCTGAGGAGTCATAAAGATCTCGTATACTTCTAAACTTTCTTGGAGGCGAGTTGTCATCACTTGATGTAGCTCTTGGAGATTGAGGAGCAATTTCTGATTGATAAGTATCATCTTCTTCTTGCAAAATAGGCAGCTTTGCTGGACCATTTTCATCTTCAAAGAAAGCATTTTCATCAAAGTGGACATCACGGCTGATCAAGAACTTTTTGGTCTTCGGATTGTACAGCTTGTAGGCCTTGCTCCTTTCATTATATCCAATGAAAATGCACTTTTTTGCCTTATTGTCGAGCTTGTTTCTCAACTCCTTTGGAACATGGAAATAGGCAACACAACCGAAAATCTTCAAATGTTGCACTCTCGACTTCACTCTATACCATGCTTCATGAGGTGTGCAATCCTTTAAACTCTTTGTTGGTGATCTGTTGATTAAATATGCAGCACAGGAAACAGCTTTTGCCTAAAGTTCTTATTGCAATCTTTTCTTCTTGAGCATGCATCTCATTATCTCCATGATTGTTCGGTTCTTTCTTTCGCTCACGCCATTTTGTTGCGATGTATATCGGGCTGTCAACTGGTGCTTTATTCCATGATCTTTGTAATATTTTTGAAATTCATTGGAGAGATACTCTCCACCACGATCTGTCCTCAAACTTTTGATTTGAAAGCCTACAAACTTTTCAACTTCGGCCTTAAAATCTTTAAAGGCTTGAAATGCTTCAGATTTTTCTTTAAGGAAGTAGACCCAAACTTTTCTTGAGAAATCATCAATAAATGTAATGAAATATAGATTACCTCCAAAAGATGCTACTGGCAGTGGATTACACAAGTCAGAATGAATAAGTTTCAACGGCTTCTTTGCTCGCCATGAAGACTCTGGAGGAAATGAACTTTTATGTTGCTTACCAAATTGACAATCTTCACAAACGCCATCCACTGGATCAATTTGAGGCAGCCCATGTACCATTCTTTTGTTTGACAACAACTTCAAACTTCCATAATTTAAATGGCCATATCTATCATGCCATAACTTAGAGACTTCTTTTTCAGCACTCACAAAGCTAGATAGTTTTGTTGTCTGGAGCTTCAAAGGAAACAAGTTATTTGCAGCAAGTCCAACCTTGGCAACAAATTTATCCTCCCTTTTGAGAACACAAAAATCACCACCACGGAGGCGAATATCATAACCCTTCCTCAACAGATGGCCCATACTCAATAAAGTACTCTTCAAACCAGGAACATAATATACTTCAGAAACCTTCTCAATTGTTCTAGATTTTGATTTGAAAGACACTTCACCAATTCCCTCAATTTTATAGGCTTTATCACCACCAATTCTCACTTGACCACGATCAAACTTATAGAGGGCAGAAAAAAGGTTTTTGTTACCTGTCATATGCTTGCTAGCTCCACTATCTAAATACCACACATCATTCATTTGATCTCCATGACATGCAAGCAATAAAGTTTCTTTATAATCACCATCTCCAGAGTTGGTTTGATGCATATAGCCTGCTCCATATTGTTTTTCATCATCTGCCTTTTTGAACCGACATTCTCTGATCTTGTGCCCAGGTTTGTTGCAGTAGTAGCATTTTGGAGTGCCACGTCCTCTTCCTCTTTGAAAAACACGTCCTCTTCCTTGGTACGAATTGAAATCTCTTTCACCTTCATTATTGGAGATGCTTGATGAGCCTCGTTCATTGCCATAAGAATTAGTGCCTCTGCCATTCAAATTTCTTCCTCTACCTCGTCCACCTCTTCCACGTCCAAAGCTTTGATTAGGGCTCGAAGCTTGATTGCCATTGCTGCCTGTAGTTGCAACTTGAGACTTGAGTGCTTGATCTGGTTGAGTAGCAGGAGGATTCCTCAAATTAATTTTGATCTCATGTGCCTCCAATTTTCCTTGTACCTCTTCCATAGAAAAAGTTGAAATATCATTTGACTCTTCGATGGCAGCCACAATATAATCGAATTTCGCCGGTAAGCTATGAAGAATTTTCTCAACAATTCTTGCATCTTTGAGAATCTCCCCATTTGAAGCCATTTGATTAACGATTGAGGTAACTCTGATAAAGTGGTCTTTGATTGTCTCATCTTCTTTCATCTCCAACTTTTCAAATTCTTTCCTTAAAGATTGCAGACGAACCTTCTTTACCTTCTCCTTACCTCTGTAGGCATTCTCGATCATATCCCATGCTTGCTTTGCATTCTCGGCTTTCGCAACTCTTTCATATACTTGCATCTCAATGGTTTGATAGATGTGGAAGAGTGCCTTGCTGTCCTTCTTTCGGTTTTCCCTCAAAGTATTCATCTGCACTTGAGTTAACGCAGCCTCGTTATCCGTCTCTTCGTAGCCCACTTCAACAATATTCCATAGCTCCAAAGCCTTCAACAACACCTTCATATTGTTGCTCCAGTAGTCGTAATTATCATCACCAAATCGAGGAATTAGTGAAGCCAAGTTGTGACCATTTGCATTTGCATTCGCCATATTGACAAAACTTCAACACGGCTCTGGTACCAATTTGTAGGAGGAAGAGGGATAGAGAAATGTAGGAGAGCGGAGAGGTTTTTAAAACTTGAAAAGACTTCTAATTTCTAATTTCTTTTTTCCCACACAAAACTCATTACACTACATGGCTTTTATAGCCACTACAATACATCATCATTTATTTAGGTAATTATAAGGTTCTTGAACATTGAAACATCTAGAGAAATCATGATTAACTCCAGAAATTCCAAACATCACAACTCTAGAACTTCTATCCTTTCTTATCCCTGATTTATGACTCTTCCTTGTGACTGAAATTTGGGTTAACTTTCCAACATTTGTGGTGAAAAGGAAAGAACTTTGATGCAAAAATGCAATTGGACGTAGATTTTGGATTGTGGGTTTACTCATTTTGGTTTTAAACGAATTAAGTTTGTTCCTTTTGCATGTGGGATTGATTAAGTTTGATTTTGGGTGCTTGATTGACAGGCGAACTTGAGCATTACTATAATTCCAATGTCTCACCAGTTTGGATGGAGTTCATCCGAGGCGGGATTGGTTCAATCATCGTTTTTTGGGGGGTATGCATTGAGTCAGTTGCCCGGAGGTTGGCTTGTTAAGATATTTAGTGGGAGATTTGTTTTTTAAAGCTCGTTTCAAGTTTTTATTATGTTATTTATTTATACTTAGAACTATGCAGTTCATCCGTGGCGGGATTGGTTCAATCCCCAAATGCTTGTTTATTGATCTTTTGGCCGAGACAGGTATGCATGCTCATCTATCATTTTCTTCTATGCAGAAAAGTTCTTGAGTTTGGAGTGCTAACTTGTTCTTTGGCTACGACACTTGTCCCTCTTGTTGCTGGATTTACACTTGATTTAGCTTTGTCAAGAATTTTGGTACGCTCATTTACAATATATTCTATTTACTACATACTCTTGTAAAGCAGTTCAGCTTTGTTTAGCCTTTTGTTTTTGTTCTTGATTTCCAACTTATTGTTGGTTTGAGTATCAAACCTACCTGTTACTGAGAGCTCTTTTCTTTGAAGTACAGGTAGGAATTGGAGAAGGCATTTCCCTATCTGCCGCAACAGACCTTATTGCCAAGCATGTATGACATTCTTACATTTAGTTTGGTCCATCATAGATTCATAGGTAGTGTTCATGAAGCATTGTTCAAATTCAGGTTGTCTAGTGGGTCTATTTCTTTGTGTTTGAGAATCCTAATAATCTTTTACCTGGTGCAGGACAATACCTTTGGAAGAGCGTTCCCGAGCTGTAGCATTTGTCTTTGGTGGTCTAAGTATAGGAAGTGTTGCATGGTATGTTGCAGGGGCTTTTGAAGATTTATTTAATTATTTATATTAAAAAATGAAAAGGGGAAAGTCGAATTTGAGATTCTGAATACAAATGATTAAATAAATCTTCAAAAGCCCCTGCAATAAATCTGATTTATCAGTTGACTAATAAATCAGAGGTCAATTTAGTATTAAGGGCCTGTTTCTTTGAGTAGCCAATGCCTTCCGGTCATTATCTTTTTTGCTAAGGAAAAACTGTTCGGTTTTAGAATCTTGAGATAGCTTCATAATACTCGATTCTTTTATTTCATGATTATTACCACTTGACAAGGCACCATTATTGTTTGTGCCTATCATTTCTCTCGCATTGTTCTTCACTACATGGTCTCTTTCTAATGCAACTAGTACCATTTTGCTGACGTCTAAGCAATCACAATTGTTGTCACAGTTAGCTGATCACTACCATTTTCAAAGACGCATATACCATTCTATCATTGTATATTCCTCTTTCATGCATGAAAAATTTTTGTCACAGTGCATGCCAGTAAAGTTGACTCTATTTGTACAAAGCGTACTTCACAAGAAAAATTGTACTTGTTCTTGATAATGATTTGTCAGTGCTTCGAGGCATGGATAGTGTGGTAACTATAACAGATGCTGTTGGCAAGATCATCATTTCAAGCATATGTTTGTGCCTTATTTTTCACGTACCAAATTTCTTGCATAGTGATGATTCTTTTAATTCTCTTGGAAATACTTGATAGGGTCCCAATCAACAGATGTGAAATCAAGGAATTGGCCATTGAGGTGCTCTGACCAATGTAGAGTGAGGAGGTTTTTAACACGTGCCAATGTTTAACTAACAAAGAAAAGAATGCAAGATAAAAGTTGTTACAGTTCCAGTTTATAGTTTGTAACTCCTTGCATGAGTTTTCTGCCCTGATATTGTAAAGTTCCAGTATCTTCGGGTGCTTTACCCATTGGTTTTGCTATTGTTTTAACTTTTACATATTATCTACAGCCTTGCTGTGTATCCATTTGTATGCTATATTGCAAGAATTATGCACGACTTTACTAGGCTTATTGTTGAGATTGTCAAAAATTTTGTTGCACTTTGATGTGTTTAAAAATTAAAACAATATCATGTTCCTTTGTGTTGATGGCATATCTGTATATGTAGGTTTAATGAATTTGGTGTTGATGGTAGCCCTGCTGCAAAGGACTTGGCTCCCAAGTTTAATGTGTTCAAGAAAAATTTGTATGCTAAACTAGGGGTTACAATACCAGAGATAGACGTAAGTCTCTTTATTTCTTTCTCTGCAGTTTCTCCCTTGGATTCTATGGTCATGTTAGTGGGTCGTTTACCAAAAGCGAAAATGGACATGGTCATGGAGTTAAACCCCAATTCTTTTGAATTAGGTTGTAATTCTGGTTGATATATAAGCAGTTGATTTGTTGTTGATTTCTTATTTTGATTTTTCTCTTAGCAGACAGTCTTGTTAATGTTCATGACAACAATTTGTTCCACATGTGTTGAAATTTTAAAACAGGCTGCATTATTTTCGGTGATTAGATTGTGGTAAATATTCCCTTCCAAGTATATTTCTCTTCATTTTTCTTGTGTATTAACCTTAGGTTCCTCAATCTGAGCATACCTGGTCTTCTTATTAGATTTAGGATAACCTATTTGTATCTTGGCATTCGTTGGATTTTGCTGAGTGTTGGCTTATCTTAGAGAATTACTGGTACAAATATTCCTCTGTTACTGTTTCTGTGTTTTCACATTATCTTTTTACATGGGTTGTTATGTTGGTTAATTTGTTTTAATCAGTTGTCTTTAAATATATGAATTGGTAATTGGTTTGGATATATATGGTTTGTTGCTTATGAGGGCATTTCTTGGATTTTATTTTTTGTTTTTGGTGAAATATTAGGATTTGGGTTCAAAGCAGTTTTCAGAAATTGGATATTTTGTTGTGACTAGTGAATCATATTTGCATGTGGATTTTTGGTGGTATATAGCATTCCTAGTTTGATGACTATTTAGCATTCCTACTTTGGTGACTCGTTGTTGTTGCTTAGAAGCTCGGTTGTCGTCATGGCAAGGTTGTTCGATGTATGGGGAAGGCACGGGTTCGTGAGACGGGTGCCTCCTCTTCCAAATCAACCACAAGACAGGTCATTGCCCTGACAGAGGAAGTGGCAACCCTAAAAGGTCAGCTTGCAGCCTAATAAGCAGCACGGGAGGCCGAAGCAGTAGCTCGGGAGGCCCGGGAAGCCAAGATTGCAACCCAGTCTTCGGCCCAGAACGAGAAGATGAGTATGATCTTACGGGGCTTACAGATGTTCGGCCTCCAAACCCCGATGCCAGCACCTAATCTTGCTTCACCTTCGACCTCCTAGCCACTTCGCCCAGCCGATACACAGTAGCTTGATGCATCAAGCCTAGAAGATTACTTGTTGTAGTTTGTTCTTTTATATTCGAACATCTTGTATGTACATTTTCATATATTTTATAATTAAATAATTTTTCTTGGTTTATTAATTATTGTTTAGAATTTAATTACAATATTTATTAAAAATTAAATAAAAAAATATTTTTTGGCCCAAAAAAAAAAAAGGGTTTGTGTGATAAGAAGTAATCTGCGTTGCGCAAAATGTCTTTGCGTGAAGGATAACCTACGTCAAGCAAAGTAGTTTTACGCGATAGAGGGACATGCGTCGCGAAGTGTCTTTGTGCGACGCAGGTTACTTCTTCGTTGCTCAAATCCTGCTCTTGAAGGTTTCGTTGGGCTAATTTTTAGGCAACATTTTTTGACTTTGAGCAACGAAAGTACCTGCGTCGCGTAAACTAATTTTTTGTCCTAGTGTACAAATAAATTCAAATTAACATCGATTCCAATCACCCAACTGGAGTCCTCCTCCACCTGAGAATTCACCCCTCCGTCGTCGAGTCGATATCAAGTATCGTTTGACTATACTTTGAAGGAATGCCACTTAGTACTACAGTCTAGTGGTATTCCTTTCCATTTCTAATTGAGAGATTTTAGATTCGATTATCGCCAAAGACGAATTTAAACTACACTATTGGTAACCCATTGTGAGGTTAAGCCCATCCCTTTCCTCCATAGTGTAGATAATATTGTTCATTAAAAAAAAATAATTAGGGAATGATCTTTATATGTTTCCATTCTCATAGATTTTTCTAACATGGTTAGCACAATTCTTTGAAACTAAAGGAGAAATATTCCTGTTTGCAGAAAATCGTTCCTCACTGAATAAAAAAAACAAGTGAATGAATCTAGGTTCAATCATATGTAGTCGTTTTCAAGACCAAAGTTTATACAATTCCAATTAATCCACTGAGAGAAAACACGAAGTGATAGGATTTCAATTCTTTGAAGACAAGGGAGACTTAACACACTAATTGGAGGAACGGGATCAAAGCAACAAGCATCCTTTACTTAGGAAATTGATCAACCTGTTTTGGTTTATATTTGACACTGGGCTTTGTGATAATGAAGGCCGAAAGATGCAAAATCAAATAGAAGGCTGAGCTCGGGCAAGTCGATAGGCATGAGATGAATTGGAAGCTATTTCAACAAGGGCATAGGCCACGTGCCTATGATTGAAGTGATCGGCAACAGAGAACACCTCACCACTAGCCATAAAGCACTTTTTAGGGGCATGGATGAGTAAATATGTGAAGACTCATTGCCCTCCGAAAGATATCAGCTAAAGGCAAAGCTTGGACAGTTGACCCAAATTGTCTATAAAAGCAAAGATGGACACCAGAGACAAGGACACTCAACCAACCAATCAAAGGACATACAAGCTTTGATCACAAACAAGTTTGTACCCATAAAGCTGAATTTTGTCCAAATCCGGCCTTTTTGAGCTATAGTTCCCTAATAGAAAGTCATCTTTTGTCGAGATTAGAAGCTCTGCTACCTTCCCTTAGTGTTGTAGTATTTATTCCCTCTAGTGAAACCCTTTTACTTTTCATCTTTTAGAGTAGACAAACCGTTGTAATCATAAAGAGAAGTGGCTGCAAAAAGTTAAACCTTGCCCGACAAGGTTAAATCTTGCCCGACTCTCTTTTGTTTGTACTTACATATAGTAGATCTGTCATTTAATGCATTTTCCTTCATGTTTTTAAATCATTTTCCATTGTTTTACACTTAAAAGTTATATCTACAATCAAATCTGGATAAGTCAATGAACCTAGTTTCATTAAAACAAACTTTTATCAAGAAATGGTTGGAAGGGTCCTGAACCCCCTTCATTTTGGACATACAATGCTATGAATTAAAAGTTCTTGTTCACAAGGAAAGAAAATAACCTTATACAAACTTAATCCATTTGTGACAATTCCTTGATAAACAAGAAGTCTAAATAACTTGTGGCGCAAGTAATCAACCTAATTCATACCTATCGAACAATATGCTATATAAAGATAATAGTGGCACGTTCAGATCCTTGTTAGTTTTGATTGTGAACCTCAAGACCTAAACCAAAGGCCCCACAAAGGCACCTTTCAAACTAACAATAAACTCGTATTGCAGCATACCAAGCAGCAAGATCTTGCCCGATAGACAATAAAGAGCCAGAGCCCTGAGGAGCTATGCGAGGGACCAGATCCAGAAATCTAGCCCATACACAACCCATATTAAATTTCTTTTCCCACCTTTAGACTTGCAATTGAAACTTTTCCAGTGGAGGGACAAACATCTCATTAGGGGGGCAAGACAAAGACAATGAGAAGGGGCATATTGAGCCCCACACAAGTTCTTTTCGACTCAGTGTTGTTACTTTGTCCCAATAATTTTCAAAGAGCTTAATTAGGGTTGGTGTTTTCAATTTCTAGCGGAAGACTTCTTATTGGTCAAGGGATCGAAACATCATGAAGATTTCTCGTAATTTACTTGAAAGAGGACCACAACGACAGGTACCTGAGACTTCCTCCATTTCGGCGCGTTGAATTGTTTGTTCCTTTTCACAGTGTCCCAATCAGTTTTCTTGTGTGCTCCT